AAGGCATCACGAGGCTGGCAGTGCCACATCTCCTGCTGGGGAGGACAGACCAGGACAGCCTTGGCATGCTCCTGCCAAGGTGCCATGAAGGAGAGGAGCCATCCAGTTTCCCAACACCTCATCATCCATCTACTTCATTGTCCTGGTTGCTCCATCCTCTGGGCACGGTGGGTCCTGCCAGCCCTGGTCACCACAGGCCGAGGTGTCACTGCAGGCCGAGGTGTCACCACATGCAGGAGAATCAGGACTCCGGGACAACTAACCAATATGACTAAGCAGGAGCCCTTTATTGTTTACATTATGCACTTATTTATACATTCTAACCCTCCTGCACAGGCTGATCACGCATCTCTTGGTTGGTGCCTCCAGCTTGTCCACGTGTTCTGCACACCCTTCTCAGAATATGTGATTGGTTACAGTCCAGGTGGTTCACCACCCTCCTTTATCTAGTTTTTGTGGTATTGGAATTCTGTTTCTCAACTTCTTTCTTAATTTAACACAGTTTATGTCTTAGTAACCTTGATGAATTCCAGAGGGCTCTGATAAGAATAACTACAAGTGGCTTGGCTGGTGCACAGTGTGGCCTAAGTTGTTCAGATACATTGCTACAGCCACAAGCTGAGGTGTCACCACAGGGCAAGGTGTCACCGCAGGCCCAGGTGTCACCACAGGCCGAGGTGTCACTGCAGGCCGAGGTGTCACTGCAGGCCCAGGTGTCACCACAGGCCGAGGTGTCACCACAGGGCAAGGTGTCACCGCAGGCCCAGGTGTCACCACAGGCCGAGGTGTCACCACAGGGCAAGGTGTCACCGCAGGCCCAGGTGTCACCACAGGCCGAGGTGTCACTGCAGGCCGAGGTGTCACTGCAGACTGACATGTCACTGCAGGCTAAGGTGACACTGCAGGCCCAGATGTCACTGCAGACCGACATGTCACTGCAGGCTCAGGTGTCACTGCAGGCCGAGGTGTCACCGCAGGCCCAGGTGTTACAGTAGGCTGAGGTGTCACTGCAGACCGACATGTCACTGCAGGCTCAGGTGTCACTGCAGGCCCAGATGTCACTGCAGACCGACATGTCACTGCAGGCTCAGGTGTCACTGCAGGCCCAGATGTCACTGCAGGCCAAGATGTCCCCGCAGGCCCAGGTGTCACCATGCCACAGCCGCATTGGCACCGTGAGCCACGGCTCCCCTCTCCCTCCCTGCTCCCTCCCACGGAAACCAAAGCTCTCTTCAAAGTTTCTCCTCGCTTGGCTGCCTCCGAGATCTGGGAACTCAACGCTAATTAACGTGTCTGCAAATCCCAGCTCGGCTGCCGGGGCCTCAAATTCCTTCACGGTCCCGCGAGTGCAGAAGGATCCACGAGCGAGCCCTCTGGCTCCTGAAGCTACACGGCTGGCAGATGCATATTTTAACAACACACATCTGTTGGCAATATAATCTCTTGTATTTGCCCTCCCTGCTCTGAGCTTTGATGGAAGACTGGAGGGAACTCTCCAGTGGTTACAGCCAAAGTGTTTGCTTTGCAATTTCGCTCGATTGCTGCCTGATTTTATTTTTAAATTTCTCCAAGTCCTAATCAGGCTCTTACTTTATTTAATTAATACCCTGGCTTAGTTAAATAGATCATAAATTAAGCAGTCCTGCCATTAGAGATGTACCAGGTAGCAAATAGCCCTCCAGTGGCTTCCCAGAGCCTGCCTGGCTTGGGCTCCCCTGCCAAACTGCCTTGACATTCTTCACTTGCAGAAAATCTGGATGCCTCCATATGTCCCAAATCCCATCCTGTCAGATTTATCAACCTTCCCTGCTTGGGGCAGATATCCTGAGGATATTGGACAGTGACTCCTTCCCCAGAGAGTTTGGGCAATGGTAGGAGGAAAGGTGAGGTAGACCCGGAGAAGGGGAACCCTCCAGCTTTGGGATGCATTAACAACATTTCCCAGCAATATTTGTCCCTGGAACTCCACAAAGAAAAGACTTTCCCTGATGTTGATGACAGTAATAGGCTCGTCTGTTTGAGTGTTTGGACTTCCAAGCTATGGAATGATCTGTTCCACTACATTTAACGATGTAGATTTGAAAACAATGTGACAAAACCTTAAATATTTAATTAAAATATGGTGTAGCTCTGTATCTGAGCAGGGAGGTAGGAGGCATCAGCCCCATAAAGCTGTTGTCAGACATGAATGACAGCAGTTGGAGCCTGAATCTGGAGGCATTAGGGGATTTCTTGATACCAAGGAAGTGGAAAATCTGGCAAGGACAGACAATGCAGCACCAACCATACAAAAAACCAATGAGGGTCATTTTTCCAGAGACAAGGCTGGGGGTGATAGAGCAGGATAGAGTTCCCCAGAACTGCCTCTAACACCCAGCTGGCTGAACAGCCCTTGAGTCACTGAGAAACCAGCAGCAGATATCGGGCTCCCAGCCACCAGAGCCTCTCAGCGCTGCCTCAGCTGTGATCGATCGCTTCCTTGAGGGCTGCATGGTCTGCACCCAGCTCCAGGGATGCCTCAAGGATCCTCTCCTGCCCAGGGGATGCCTGCAGCCTCAGGTGAAGCTGGGCAGGAGGGAGTTGGGATGAAGGAACGCCCCCCAGGCACCTTCCTGTGAGCGGCTCAGGCAGCCTGGCACATCTCTTCCCAACCCAGGGAGATGAAATCTGGGAGATCCAGCTCCCTCCAGACACAGCTGCTTAGCTCACAGCTACAGCAGGCTCACACATTGCATGCTAAGAGCAGACATGTCTGCACAGCTGGTGATGCTGCACATCTGGAAGCAACAGAAATGTCTCTCCCCCTTCACAGACAAGTGTTACCCCCTGTCATGCAGTGAGTTCAGCCTGACAGGCTGCACATTGTCCCCAGCTGTCAGGAACACGGGGGCTTAAGGCTTCTACTCTTCATGTGCCACATCTGTCCCCTCCACTGGGGTGGCTAAAACACAGAGCACAGATCCCACAGCAGCCCCTGCCCTCGCTGCCAGCACAGAGCACCCCATCCCAAAGGATCAGTGTGAGCTGCTGATCACCAACTTCCTGCAAAGGTGGGATCATCGCGCCTACCTCCCCACCCAGCCTGAAATGTCATAGAATCACACAATTTCCTGAGCTGGAAGGGACCTGAGCTGGACAGGATCACTGAGTTCAACCCCAGGCTCTGCACAGACACCCCAACAATCCCACCCTGTCCATCCCTGAGAGCATTGTGCAAATGCTCCTGGAGCTCTGGCAGCCTTGGGGCTGTGACCACTTTTCCCCCCTCAGAACATCTGCCTAAATTTCCCTAAAGCTAAAGATGAGCTACCAGTCAGTTCCAAACCCACACTGGCTCATCGATTTGGCCTAAATTGAACACGCTGTAACTTTAATTTTCTTAAAAGGAAAACACTCTGCAAATATAAGTTGCTGAACATCTTAGGTAAATGTACCAATTAGCAACTACTATGTATATCCACATAAACATTAACTACCATCTATTCAACACATTCTGTAACCCCAAAGATAATAACGATTTCCTTTTGATCCATAAAAACATCTCTCTGCTCAATCAACGCTTCACAGCAGCTCTGACGTACGCCCTGGGACTAAATTAGTTTTGAAATCTTTAGCTCTAATTAAATAACATTATTTCTTTTGTCTGGCTCCCTCAATGTATTCTGCTTTCACAACAGAAGGAGGGAGTCCAGGCGAAGGAGGGGTTGGCGGTAAGCAAGACAACGTTCCCCTTTCCTATTCATTCCCAGGATTATTTCATGTATGGGCACATGTCAGAGCTCTGAGCTGCTGCCAAGGGTTGATTAAGAAGAAGGAGGAATCAAAGGAAAATCATCATTATCGTCAGGGTCAGGGAAGGAAGGGATGGCAGCTGTGAAAGTTTGGGAGTAGGGAATGTTGTAGGGTTGTGGAGGGAGGAAAACAAATACAGGGGAAATTGCAAACCAGGAATTTGAACTAATTTTCATAGTGCAGACTCCAGTGAGGTGCACCTTCAACCACAGCTGGTAGCTTAATTTACTACTTTTGGCTGCTTAAAACTAATCATCCTTGATCTGACTAAAAGCACAGAAATTCTTGATTTGGATCTTTTTAAAACGTGGGTTTTTTTTCTCCCTAGAAACTAACCAGGAATAAAGACAACAAGGAAAAAGAAATCCAATCTTCAATTTAAACAAACTTAAATATGCAAATAGTTTCATTTTGAGGGTTGAATAATCAGGATGAATCTGGGAGTAGCAATACAGACTGGGTTTTGTCCAAACGGTTTAAGAAAAATGCCATTTTCATTAATTTCTCTGAAGCCACGTCCATGCCGGGAAGCCTCGCTGACGTGCCTGCCTTTTCCCAGCACTCCTGTGGGGAGAGCCTCCCTCCTGCTCTGCCAGATGGCCAACAAAGCCCTCCAGCTCTGCCAGTGCTCCCCACCCATCTACCACACAAAAAGGTCCCCTGCATGATTTTGGGAGCCACTTCCAGTTTGCAATCCCAGGCAATATCCTCCTGTGCTGCTCATGGGAAAGATGAATTACTGAGAAACGCAGGGTGATAAAATATTAGTATATAGCTTAAAAATATTAGTAGATAGTTTAAAAGTACTGCATAGTATGAAACCAGTCTTTCCTCAGGGGGTGGAGTTGTCCCAATCCTGTAGGCAGAGTGACGCATAAGTGATGACACTGACACTCTTCATATCCTTATATTTATGGACAGACTCTCTTGAATTGGGGCATAAATCCATAAAGCGGAAGTGCCAAACCCTTGGTGGCTGTGTTACTCCTAGAACTGTCATACTCTACCCCAGAGCTGCTCCACTCCCCAAGCAGCTTCCTTTGATCCTGTTCTCAGCACTGAGCTGCTCCCCCACTGCTCTCACCACGGATTCATTCCTAGTCCTCTTGATCCAGCAACAAAACATTTTGTTAAAAGCTACTCAGTGTGCCCATGAAGGCAGTGAAACCCCAACAAACACTCTGAGGGTGTGAGGAGCTGGGACTCACCGAGGACGGTCAGCCGGGCAGGTCTGGATCGGATGGCGGCTTGGATGGCCTGGCACTCGTACACGGCATCATCCTGGAGGTCAGCTCGCAGGATTTTCAGGTGGTGCTGACCTGACAGATGGTCTCCTACGACCAGATAGCGCGGGTAACCTGCCCAAGGCAAAGCACAGGTCAGGAGGCAGCCGGTGTAGGCACAGGGTGTGTGCTGATTGGGATGGGGCTGAACCTCATCCCCAGCGGGTGCAGCTGTGAGCAGCAGGTGAGCAGCACTGACAGCAATGAGCCATGGAGTGCCCAGGTGTGCTGAGCAACCACACAGGGAACAGAGGGCACCCAGGTGTAAGGCATGGACATGAGGGGATAAAAGGTTGGGCTAAAGAACAAGAAGGGCAGGCACTTGTAGCTTTTTGCAGTGCTGTTACTCTGTATGGGTTGAAGCTTTCTGAAATTGTATGATGATACTCTGTGTTCGTGGCTGTCTTAACTGCAACATATGCTGCGACAAGCTGGAGCCCTGAGCCCAGGGATGAGGAGAGCAGAGCATGGGTCCAGAGCCCCAGCACTGCACAGCAATTCCCAGGATCCAGGCAGCTTCCTCCCCTCCTTAGCAGCCAGCCAAAAGAGAGAGAAAGAACCTGCCAAATCCAGGAAAGGGACTGCATGTTTTGCTCTACAGGTTCAAAAATGAAGTGCTGATGAAGGAACACTAACTGAAATCCCAAGGAATCATGGGATCATAGAATGTTAAGTGTTGGAAGGTTTGGTTTTGACCTTAAAGATCATTGGGACCCAAGACCCCCTGCCATGGGCAGGGACATCTCCCACTAGATCAGGTTGTTCAAAGCCTTCTCCAGCCTGGCTTTGAACCCTTCCAGGGCTGGGGCATTCCCAGCCTCCCTGGGCAAGAAAAAGGGGTGAGCCCTTCCATCAGGAAACCCACCACCTCCTGCTCCTCTGCAACCCATCATGGAATATCCTCAGCTCCTGGAGTCAACTGAAGTGACACCCTGGAATAGAACCATGATTAGCTCTGTGTAAAGCTTGGGCAGGGGTCTGGGGGCACCAGCAGCTCTGGTCAGCCTGGCTGGACACACAGGAAGAAAGGTACCACCCCCGTGCCCTCCCGTGCCCAATGCCCTGTGTAACACAGCACTGGCACACGCTTGTGCTTCTGTTGTTTCTCGAGTTATCAACAGCAGGATTTGCTCTCCTGAACTGCGAGGACTACAAATGATGGGTTTGTTTGTGTTGTGCTAATTAGACACTGGCTGAGCTGGTATCATGAGCTGGCAGCTCTTGTGGCTTCCAGCAGCCCCGGCTCTGTTAATTGTGGAAGTCATTCACATCAGCTCCCTACTTCACTGGAGCTCTTGTTACTCAGTCGTGTTGCAAGGTCTTGCATGGGAAGCTCAGCTCTCTAATAGATGCAAAAATTGTGGCTCAGAGCTTTGAAAAACAGGCAAAGACGGGGCTGCTCACTCGGGCACAGCTGTAAATGAGCAATTATATGTATTAATAAAAAATAGAGGGAAAGAAGAAGCAGGCACTGCACTTTAGGGAAGAGCAGGATCCCTAGAGACCAAAAAGCATGGAGCCTCCCCTGGTTTCTCAATGCTGCTTCTTGCCTTGGGGAAAACTCTCTCAGGTCACCGGGAGCTGAGCAGTGTCACACGTGTACAAACTCTGCAGAGCCTGGGGGACACTGCAGCTCCTGCAGGGATCCATGTCCTCCCGGGCTGTTTCCAGCAAACACTCTTCCTATTCATGTAAAATATTTCTGTTTTAAATTAGTGTTTTCCAGCTAAATATACAGAATAAACTCAAAACTTCCCCAGTATTGCACCTGTCTTCACCAGCTGCAATTAACCCTCAATCACAGTGTGGGAGTGGGATTAAGGCATGTGACTTCTGACCAAATTATGATTTGCCAAAACCAGTGTTGAGGAAGACACAAACACTCGTCCAAAGCAAACAGAGGCTTGTGGGTCCCTTCAAACTCAGGGTATTCTATCGTTCTTTTCATTTTTGAGAATATCAAAACAGGCACTTGCAACATCTATAAAACATTTCATCCCACATTTTGGAAAGGTGACATTAATTTCCAAGGAAATGAAACCAGACCTTTCTAAAGGGTCAGGCAACGTCTGTGGGAGCCAACAGTTCTGTTTCAGGTCAGAGTGAAACAGATTTTGGTTTATTCCAGTGCCTGTGTTTGGAGGGACTGGAAGGTGTTGGAGTTGAAATGAAAACATTATTCCCCAAATAAATGTTGGGCAAGGAGAGCTCCTGCTTTCCTTGTTTATGGACGGTCGTTATGGATTTTTTTGTTATCTTCAGTTGTTTTTTTTTTGTTAAAGTTGGGATTAAATGTGTGAGATGGTATTTTTTGTTTGGATATAGATGTTTATTATTTTTTATTTCTATTACAATTTTATAAATTGTGAGTTTCATAGTATTTTATTTAAATAAGTTAGAAATGGAGTTGTATTTTATTTATAAGGTTTCTAATGGATAAATTGTTTAATTAAAAAATTACACTTAAATTATTTTTATTTTTAACTTAATAACTAATTATTTGTGACTTGTTTTATTTTATTTATATTTAAATTTATAATTGATAATTATAAATATATAATTTATTTAAATTCATTATTTATTCTATTTCTATTTATTATTGTTATATTAATTTATTATTTATTAGTATTTTATTTATATTTATTTTTAATTTATAATTTATTCTATTTTCATTAGTTTTTTATTATTTTAAAAGATTTTTATTACTTTATTATTTTATATTATTTTATTGTTTTTATTTATTTATATAATATTATTTAAACTTATGAAGAAGAAGGTGAAGAAGAAGGTTTAGTTTTTATTTTAAAACTTTTATTTTGGTATATATATGTATAAAATTATATATATCTATATATTATATATTACATATTCGTTATATATAAAAAATATATATGTTTATTATATATACTATACTGTACTATGCTATACTATATTATTATATTATATCTTATATATATAATTTTTATTCTAGATATTATTTTGCTTTATATATATAGAAAATATATAAATATATATGAATATATAAAATATAGTAATATTTAAAAATGTTAAATTTTAAGTTTTTCATTACATTATATTAAACACATTTATTTAAAGTATACATACATAATTTTTGCTTTATTATTTAGTTTTGGAAGGTTTTTTTTACAGTTTTAGGTTAAATGTAGTGTTTTCTTGGGGGTTAGTGTTTGTCAGTACAAAAAGTTTAAAATTCTTAGCAACTAGGTTTCTAACAGGTGCTGTCCTGACTTACTTTTTGGAAGGTTTTTTTACAGTTTTATGATTAAATGTAGTGTTTTCTTGGGGGTGCTTGTCAGTACAGAAAGTTTACTATTCTTAGTACCTAGGTTTCTAACAGTTGGTGTCCCCACTTACTTTTTGGAAGTTTTTTTATGGTTTTAGGTTAAATGTAGTGTTTTCTTGAGGGGTTAGTGTTTGCCAGTACAGCAGGTTTACAATGCTTAGTGCCTAGGGTGGTGTCCCCACTTACTGGAGAGGTCCCGTCCGACGCCGAGGGCCAGCCCGTCCTTGATCCAGAGCACGATGCCATTGTACTCGGGGATGGCGCAGAGCAGCGTCACCGGCTGCCCCGCGATCACCACCTGGTCCTGGGGCTGCTGCGTGAACGAGGACGCCTGGCCTGCACAGGGAACAAGAGAGGAACACCACGCTGTCAGCTCTCCAGTGGCTTCCAACACGGTGCAGTTCCTTGGGATGCAGCAGGCCAGGATGCTCCTGGCACAGCACAAATGGGAGACTGAGCTCGGCAGCTCTTAATGATGTGTTTGCTTAATTATGTGATTGCCCCATAGAATGATAGAATGGGTTGGAAGGGACCTTAAAGCTCATCCTGTTCACAGGGAGGAATTCCTTCTCAATATCCCATCAACCCCACCCTCTGGCAGTGGGAGCCATTCCCTGTGTCCTGTCCCTCCATCCCTTGTCCCCAGTCCCTCTCCAGCTCTCCTGAAGCCCCTTCAGGCCCTGGCAGGGGCTCTGAGCTCTCCCTGGAGCCTTCTCCTCTCCAGGTGAGCACCCCCAGCTCTGCCAGTCTGGCTCCAAAGCAGAGGGGCTCCAGCCCTGGAGCACCTCTGTGGCCTCCCCTGGACTCATTCCCCCAATATTTCCTGTGTTGGGGACCCAGAGGTGGACACTGCACCTTGTGACAGACAAATATTTGCAATATTTTTGCTCCTTGGGGGGAAAAGAAAGCTCCAACCAAGAGGTACCAGAATTTCCTGTAACTGTTTTATTCCAAATTGTCGTGGTAGTGTTTCAGCCACAATGATCACAGACAGAAAAGCAGCAGGATGTTCAGCAGCAGCAATATTTTATATTACACATAATAAAAGAGGATGTTGATCCTCTGCTTCTGAGCCTTGCTCCCACCTCATGTGTTCTCTGAAATCAGGATGTGCAAGGAAACAACCTGCTATAAAACACACAGGGAAACAACCAACTGCTGCTGTTCTGCTCCCTCCCCAGGTGTCACCTCCTGGCATTTGCTGGGAGCTTTCCACACATCTGGAGGGGAAGGGAAGGCCCAGCTCTCCCTCAGCACTGCCTTTCTTGAAGCGGCATTGTCAGACTCACAAATCTCTCCTCATCCTTCCCTAGCTGCAATGCTGCAATAACAAATCCCAGCCCCGGGTCATCTCCTGCCATGGTGGGATGTTTCACACTGCAGGTGTGACATGGCACTTCTCATTTTCCATGGGAAGCACTCTAGTCACTCTAACCTCTTCCACAGCAGAGTTTACCCAGCATTAAGTTTTATTTTCACTCTCCCTTGGCTTTGCCATGATTGAAAATTATTCAGAGAATCAGAGAATCCCAGAATGGCTTGGGTTGGGAGGGATCTTAAAGCCCATCTCATTCCACCCCCTGCCATGGGCAGGGGCACCTTCCACGGGTAGGGACACATTCCACTATCCCAGGGTGCTCCAAGCCCTATCCAACCAGGCCTTGGATGTTCCAGGGATTCAAAGTGTTAAATCCTGCTATTTTTTTTTTTTCTTTCCATAATGAGTGCATGGGACAATCCCAAAATGTCCCTGCAGAGCCACAGTCTGAAGCTGGAAGATCCTAAATGTGGGGCCATTTCAGGCAGATCTGCTGATATCTGGGCTCCTGTGAGTACAGTCTTTTGTGTGAGTTGGTTGAAGAGCATCCTAATTGCTCTGCCCCCACTTATTCTTGCTCTGATTCTGGATTCAGGAGATGACCTGGGAAAGAGAGGTGTTGGGGGGAAGGCAGAAGCACTGAATTGCCTCTCTGTGGGGTTTGTAGGACCAGGAACCTCTCTGGGCAGGAATTATGGCCCTGTATCAGGCAGGAATTCAGAGCCTGTGCCCTCCACTGAGTTTCTGTTCTGTCCATGGAAGAGGACTGGGCTGGAGGAAAAATTCCTCTTTAAAACCAATTTATCAAAGCAGGACCGTCTCCACGTGATCCACCCCAAATCAATTCAATCCTAATTTACACCGACTCCATTTAATCATTGACTGATGATTAATCCGGAACCAAGGTTAAGTGTGACACAAGTTCTTACATCTGAACTTGTTTCCAGATGAGCTGCTGGGCCTTTCCTACAGGGCAAGGCTCCAAAGCTCCATCATTTTCCAGCTCACACTGTTGAACCAACGTGTGCCCCCACATGAGTGCTTATATTTCACTTTAATTTATTATAGCTTCAGCTCGCTGTTAGCCACCTAAAGGAACACAGGGAAAAGCAAAGCTGTCCTTTCGAAATTCCAGATGCTTTACATTACAGGACGGTAAGAAGCCCAGCTGCAATTTTTGCAGATCTCCAGGAGCTCCTTGGGCACTTCATTCATGGGTGTTTTGGAGATCCCAGGTCTCCCAGCACCCCCATATCTCCAAGGAACTCTGATTTTCACCCCAGATAGTGCAAAAGACCACAGTTGTGGCTCTTGGCATGGTGCTGCCTGCACAACAGGGCAGGTTAATTCCAGAGGAGATTCCAGTTTTTCCTGCTGGGAGGCACTCACTGGAAGTCATGGCCTCTGACACAAACCCTTGTGCTGAGATTTAAATATTTGATTTCAAAGGGAATATGAGTCAGCTCTGTATTTTTTGGTTTTGGATTCATAAAGGAAAAACACTCCTAGGATAGCAGGGAAAAACGGGATGAGAGAGAAAACTCAGAAAGCAGAAAAAGTAGGTGTTTTGCTTTGTTGTTTTATTTTAATATATACTTTCCACCCACTAACTGGGTTTTCACAGCTCACTCTGTAATCCTGACAATTCTCAAGGCAGAGCTGGGCGAGCAGGGACAGCGCAGGAAGGCAGCAATAACCCAAAAAGATTTGTTTTATCAGTGAGAATTATCAGCTTGTCAGCTGGGAGCTGCACGAACTCTAATGAGAACGCAGAGGCACAAAGTGGTGTCTGTGCCCTCTGCAAATGCCCATTAAGCACAGGCTTCATTTGGTAATTGCTGCTGGAAATGAAGCTCTTTTTATGTTTTATTTTCCCTTTTTCTCTTATTTCTTGATTTGTTTTAAAGATGAGCTGATGGCCATGGAAAATCAGAGCAGAAACATGGCATATGTCTCCTGTATTTTCCTTCCCTGTGTTTGTTCAGTGAGAAGAATTGTCACTTAAACCCATTTTTTATTCATCCAAGGCTCCATTTCATCTACAAACAGCTCAGACTCAGTCACAGGAGAGAAAAGATGGGTGCAAGGACCTTAAGAGCATTACCTGGCCCAGTCCCTGCTCCACAGCAGGATCATCTCTCCCTAAATCTCAGATAAAAAAAAAGAAAAAAGTACTGAAGACAGAGCTCAACTCACTTTCAAATCAGCTTAAAGTCTGATTACTGGGTTTAACTGGGTTTGGAAGATCAGAGGCCTGTCCACGTTACAGCTTATGTCTTAATGTCAAAGGAACAAGTAATTTGCAGAAAAGTTTTAAGGGAGATAAGATACTTGACAGAAAATAACTGAAAATGGGGAGATTGGGAAAGGGTGATTTACAAATGCAGGCTGAGCGATTTCAGCTACAAGAAAATGGGCTGAAAGATGTCAGTTGGGTATTTTTTCTGGAATGTTTAAAATGGAATTACAAAATGATGCTTTGGTTTCAAAGCAAGAGGTTTGACTCCAACCTGTTGGGCAAGCAGGAGCTTCCCAGTTTCTCTTCTTCCACTATACAGAGTTTCAGCCATAAATACTGGTTAATCCAAATCTCTGCAGAATAGGAGTTCATCAGAGAATCATGGAATTGGTTCAGTTGGAAGGGAACTTAAAAGCCCATCCAGCCCCACCCCCTGCCATAGACAGGGACACCTTCCACTGTCCCAGGCTGCTCCAAGCCCTGTCCAGCCTGGCCTTGGACACTGCCAGGGATCCAGGGGCAGACACAGCTGCTCTGGGCACCCTGTGCCAGGGCCTGCCCACCCTCACAGGGAACAATTCCTAATTCCCAATATCCCATCCATCCCTGCCCTCTGGCAGTGGGAGCCATTCCCTGTGTCCTGTCCCTGCATCCCTTGTCCCCAGTCCCTCTCCAGCTCTCCTGGAGCCCCTTCAGGCCCTGGCAGGGGCTCTGAGCTCTCCCTGGAGCCTTCTCCTCTCCAGGTGAGCACCTCCAGCTCTGCCAGCCTGGCTCCAGCCCTGGAGTGTCTCCAAGGGCTGCTCTGGACTTGCTCCAGCAGCTCCAGGCCCTTCCTGTGCTGGGACCCCAGAGGCAGATACAGCTCGCCACATGAGCCCAACAAGAGTCCAGACATGGCACCCTCGTCACCCATCTCCTTGTCACCTCCTGCTGCACAAAGCATCCCCAAATCTGGATTTGGGAAGTGCCGCATAACAAAGCAGGGAAATGCAACAACATGTCCATGTGTCCCCAGCCCAAATGTAGCCCTGTTTTACTTCCACATCCCATCTTCCCTCTAGTGCAGAGACTTGGAATATTTTCAAAGAAATTACTCAGTTGATGCCTGGCTTCCTCAAAGGGAGTCGCTGGGCACTGATTCTGCCCCTGAGAGTCTCCATGTGAGGATCTGTGTGAGCAGAAGCAAAGCTCAGGGCTCTGAATTCATTGTTGAATTTTTTTGGTTTCGTTTAAAAGCAAACAGCTATGGAAATGAGATGCTAATGATGCCATTTGGCCAGGGTCCAGCACGAGCCCAGTGTCCCACCTGCACTCTGGAGCTGCCCTGCAGCTGGATGTGCTGTCACCACAGGTCACCTGCTGTGCCCAGAGGAGCTCTTGATCCCAGAGCCTTCCCATCTCCTCCTGCTTGCTGCTTTGCCCCTCTCCCTGAGGAGCTGCCATGTTGCCACATTTCTCTTCACAGAGAAAAGCAAGGCACACTTCTTCCCAAGAATATTTCTGGGTTTCACATCTCTGAACATCAGAGAAAGAAAACACAATGCTTATCTCACTTGCTGTGCCCGTGTTGTGCAAAAGTAGAATGCAATATGGAGATTGTTTACCCAGAGTGATGGTGTTTTGTTTCCTTGGCCTGTCAGGGCCAAGAGTGTGTGTGTGTCTGGACAGTCACGAGAGCCACAGGAGAGTCACTAGATGAGTGCAGTTCTGTGCAGTTGTGTGCAGAGTGAGTGCATGGCAGATTCAGTTCAGATGTATGTAATATAGTATAAAAAAGTA